CACACAGCTCCCACGCCCGGGTGTGAAGAGACGGTAATGTTAACGGTTATTACCTCACACAGCTCCCACGCCCGGGTGTGAAGAGACGGTAATGTTAACGGTTATTACCTCACGCCTCCGGCTCCCATGCCTCGGCCAACTACGGGGCTGATGACAGGGCCTGGAGGGAAGGGCATGAATCCTGCTTTGTATTTTGCCAGCCAGCGCCCACCCCCAGTAACAATCCAGTGACCGTGCAGACGGTCTGTGTGCAGCACCCCATCCCCTTTTTGGACCGTGCTGTCCAAATGCGTTGTCCTTCCTGCGACAAGATGAGCGTGAGTCAGCTGTCCTGTAACGCCGGTGCTCTGACCTGGCTGTCCCGCGGGAGCCCGTGCCTGCTGGGGTGCGTGGCGGGCCTGCTGCTTCATCCCCTTCTGCGTGGACGCCCTGCAGGAAGTGGACCGTTACTGTCCCAGCTGCAGAGCTCTGGTGGGCACCTACCAGCGTTTGTAGGACTCAGCCAGACGTGGAGGGAGCCGGGTGCCGCAGGAAGCCCTTTCCACCTCTCATCAAGCTGCACACCTGGTGGAGGTTCTGCCCTGGTGGTCTCACCTCTCCAGGGGGCCCACCTTCATGTCTTCTTCTGGGGGGCAATGTCGCAAAACTAACAAACCTCCAAACCCCGGCAACTGCTGCTTGGAGTCGTGCCTAGGACTTGCAAAGACATTCCCCTTGAGTGTCAGTTCAACGGTTTCCTGCCTCCCTGTGACCCTCAGTCCTCCCATCTAACTGTGATCATTGCCCTCTCCGAGCATCTTCCAGTGATCTGCCATCAGTGGCTCTTTTTTTCTGCCTCCGTGGGCCTTTCTGGTGGCAGCCTCAAACTGAGAAGCCACAGTTGCCTTATTTTTGAGGCTGTTCTGCCCGGAGCTCAGCTGAACCAACCTTTAGTGCCTACCATTATCTTATCCATCTCTTCCCATCCCTGATGATAAAGATCTTGCCTTACAGACTTTACAGGCTTGGCTTTTAGATTCTGTAACTTCAGACTTCATTAGCACACAGAGTCACTTTAATTTCCTAATTTATTTTTAAGTACAAAGAGGGGCTATTAACACCCAGTACATACATATCCATGAGGTCATAAATGCATGCTAGAAAACCAGGGCTGGATTTTATCACTGCGCTGTCTCCCCTTGTTTCTCTGTGCCAGATCTTCAGTGCCCCTTTCCGTACAGGGATTTTTTTCTCATAGAGTAATTATATGAACAGTTTTTATGACCTCCTTTTGGTCTGAAATACTTTTTAACAGAATTTCTTTCTTTAAACAAACAAACAACAACAACAAAAAAAAACAGAGACGGGGTCTTACTGTGTTGCCCAGGCTGGTCTCGAACTCCTGGGCTCAAGTGATCCTTCTGCCTTGGCCTCCCGAAGTGCTGGGATTGCAGGCATGAGCTACCGTGTGGGGCCTGAACATAATTTCAAGAGGAGGATTTATAAAACAATTTTCTCTAATCATATGATTGGTGTCATTTTCCCATTTGCCAAGGTAGTCTCACTTAAAAAAAAATAAGGAAAAGAAATGGATAATTTCATCCGCTGCCTTTACTTGGGGTTAACGTGGTTCTTAAACACCTTCATCTTGGAACTCTCCAAGTGGGGTCCCTCTTGGGTTCCTGGTGGTGGGTTTTGAAAGATAAGGGAAAGCACATTTTGAGCATCTCTGGGTACCACGGTGCAGAACACTTGGGAACCAGAACTGTTTCAGAGGAATCTGAAGTCTGCTTTTAGTTTTCAGAGACACGGCTTGTTGTAAAACATCAGAAGACATGACTTCCAGGACTCAAGCAGCAAGCCAGGATTCTAGGTTGGCTACTGTGTCATCTTTGAAGTCAAGACTAGGCTGGGCTCGACCTTCAAGAGTCCTTGTTTTGACAATAATTCGGCCTAGGGAACTCATGTGAATACTACTATGTAGAAATAAAGCCTAGACCTTGAGCAAACATCTGTATATTGGTTGAAAATGATAGTGGTAACCGTTGATCCCCCTTACGTCATTTGACGTTTGGAAAATTCCAGTAATTACCACTTTTGCAATGAATATGGATACCACGTAGTACTTTGGTGTTACCTGCTTTTGAAAAATAAAGTCTTTGGTTCACCTGGTAAAAAAAAAAAAAAAAAAAAAAAAAAAACCTAACTCATTGGTGAGCCAGGGGTGACCACAAGAAGAAGAGGTTGGAAAAACTTCCCAGAGGATGTGATACTTGATCTGGACTCAGAAAGTTGAGTAAGATTTCACTGCAAGGCGAAGAATGAGGAATCCAGACAGAAGGAATAGTTTCCAACACCTTATTACATATCCAGTGATATTTAACGTATAATGATAGTTTAATACTGTGGCACAAATGTATGGTCAGAAGTTCAACATTTCTGTGAACAAAGTTTTATTGGAGCACAGCCATCCATTTGTTTATGTGTGTTCCTACTACATGAGCAGAGTTGAGTAGTTATAACAGGGACAATATGAATTGCAAGCTGAAAATATTTACAAAAGGGTTTGCTGACTCTTGATATCAATTAAGACATTTGCACAGGTATAAAAAATGTACTGATGATTTCAGAAATTAATTAAAATGTACATGGTTAAACCTTCCCAAACCCTCTGTCTGCAATTACCTAGCAAAGCAAGGTAGAGGGTTAAAGGTGGGTAAATACACGACAGTCAGGGGATAACTTTAATAAACTAGCTTGACATCTCTAAGAAAATAGCTAGCATTGTGGCCTATACTACAATGTCCCAGATTTTACCCTTCTCACTTTTGTGTACCAGGGGATTTGCATACTAAGACATTGGAAACTGCCAAAATGATAGACATGAAGCTCATCCTTTTGCTAGAAGAGATGTAAGACAAAAATAGAAATAGAGAGGGGAAAGGAAGTGAATTGTAAAGTATGTATTTCCATTTAAGGCTCCTTTTTTTTTTTTCTTAAAGTTTCTGGCTTAAGGTTTAAGTACCTTTGATCTGAGTCAGTCTTTTCCTTTTCCCAGTGCTCAGATGCATTGATACCCTTGACAAGATCAATGCAACTGGAATGGAGGGGGGAAATCAAGAAACGAATATTTTACAAATTAAGTAGGTCAGCCCAAAAGCCTAAGAGCAGACTCAGAGCACCCAAGGACTCATTCAAATAGGGACCCCTTATTATCTTATAATCCCAATATAAATACCTCTTTAGTCCCTCTCCGTATCAGTGGATTCCACCAAACCTGGGAGTGGCTGCTTCCCTTCTTCCCTTTCTCTATTACACGTTCCGATTAACCCTCAAAGAGCTGCATCATTGGGCCTCAGCACATGAGAAGGATTTCTAGGCCAGGCGCAGTGGCTCGCACCTGTAATCCCAGCGCTTTTGGAGGCCGAGGCGGGTGGATCACCTGAGGTCAGGAGTTTGAGACCAGCCTGGCCAACATGGTGAAATCCCTGCCTCTACTAAAAGTACAAAAATTAGCCGGGTGTGGTGGTGGGCACCTGTAATCCCAGCTACTTGAGAGGCTGAGGCAGGAGAGTCACTTAAACTTGGGAGGTGGAGGTTGCAGTGAGCCAAGATTTGCTACTGCACTCCAGCCTGGGTGACAAACCTAGACTCCATCTCAAAAAAAAAAAAAAAAACTTTCTAGAACTGTGATGATAAGTAGTATAGCATCCTATAAAGAGCACACAGATTAGTGGGCTGAGAATCAGAGTGCTTACGGTCACTGGATTTTACAGCTGGAAAGGATCTTACCAGTTATCTAGTCCAACTTCTCATTTTCCTCTGTAAGAAACGCAGGTCCAAATCAATAATGTGACCAATATTTTAGTCCTGGTCTATTCCACTGTGGGACCTTGGAGCCTCTAATTCTCATCAGTCTCTGTGTTTTAAATGCAAAATTCACATAAATCAAATAATCTCAAGAAACCTCTACATTATAGAATGGTAGTAGTCCACATATTGACCAAACAAAACAAACCAAACATTTTAAAACATTTAAAAAGCGCTATTGAATTTTAAGAAGGGCCTTTCTGTTTTTAGCATCAGGCTTCAGAATGTAACCTTTCATATCTGGACTGGACTGTCTCTTAGAGTGAGTTCCCAGCATACTATAGAAAACATTGAATTCTCTTCTTCATTTATTATTATTTTTTTCTTAAAGGTGCCTCTCATATTATTTGTCCAGAAGTTTGATGTGAAAAAACAGTTGTAGCAACAATTGCTTCTTTTTTTTTTTTTTTAGACAGGGGCTCCCTCTGTCATTCAGGTTGGAGTGCAGCTGTATGCCCTCAACTCACTGCAACCTCTGCCTTTCGGGTTCAAGCGATTCACCCACCTCAGCCTACCAAGTAGCTGGGACTACAGGCATGGATCACCACGCCTGGCTAATTTTTGTATTTTTAGTATAGACGGTGATTTGCCATGTTGGCCAAGCTGGTCTCAAACTCCTGGCCTCAAGTGATCCACCTACCTCGGCCTCCCAAAGTGCTGGGATTACAGGCGTGAGCCACCTTGCCCCGCCCAGCAAGTGCCTTCTGCACGGCGTGATTCCAGTGGAGGCCCCAGTCAGCAGGTCATTCCAGTGAGTCATTGTCACCAACCATTGACAAGGCCCAGGAGAACAGCAGAGGCGGGGATGTGGGGCAGGAATAGGGGAAAGGGCAGGAATTGGGGAAAGGGCAGGAATAAGGGAAAGGGCAGGAATGGGGGAAAGGGCAGGAATAGGGGAAAGGGCAGGAATAGGAGAAAGGGCAGGAATAGGGGAAAGGGCAGGAATGGGGGAA